GACAGGATTTGATTAAATCATATGTAGATGGTGGAGGCAATGCCATAGACTTTGATGTTATGAATGGAATGTTAAAAATAAAATGGCTTAAATTGTGTTTGCAGAATCTAAATTCCATTTGGTTTGTTATTCCCAGTATAGTCTTTAAAAAATTGGGTGGACTTGATTTCCTGTTAAGATGTGATTTGATCATAGAAGATTACCGGTAAAACTTTCAGATTTCCATCAACAGGCTCTTGATGGAAATCCTTTTTTATCGAGAATTGGTTTCGTAAAGGTGTGTGGGCTGTTGCTCACTTTTTGGATGCAAATGGTAACATATTACAGCATTCTGAGTTTTGTGATAAATTTCAATTATATTGTACCCAGGCAAAATACAAAAAAATTGTTAAAGCCTTCCCTCGTCAGCTTGTATCCATGGTCAGACAAGATTTAATGTATTCTAAGGTTTGTCCTCGTTTAAGGATTCTTTTGATTGAAAATGTTGATTTTTGTGATGTCAAATGGAATAATAAGTTTATAAGAAGGTGTTTATCCAGTTATTGTGCCACGAATGTGCTTAAAAGAGAGTATATCCTTAGAGACTTTAACAAAGAACAAATTAGAAAGATTAGATCAAAATATTTGTTTTCCACTTCCTTCCAAAATAAAAGATATGCAGTTTAAAATTTTAAACAAAATCTATCCAACTAACAACTTCCTGAGACACAGGTTTAAAATGGATCTGGATAAGTGTGGATTCTGTGATAAAGTTACTGAAGATTTAAATCACCTGTTTTTCACGTGTGAAATGGTTCAGTCTTTTTGGCAAGATCTTCATCAGTTTATTCTCAGCCGTGGTATACAATTAGCAGATATAGCCATACAAGATGTTAAATTTGGTATCTTCATCAATGAGCACTTCATTGACTATGGAATAAATAATGTTTTATTGTTAGATAAATTTCATATACACAAATGTCACTTTTCTAAAACCATTCCTAACTTTAGACAGTGGATGAATGATTTAAACTTGTTTTATAAATCTTTATGTCTAGTAAACTAAAATGTGTTTAAGTTGTCCAGTTTTTGAAAAGTTTCTTACTTTAATATACTGCCCTGTTTTATGTTTTATTTTTCATTTTATGTATCATTTATTTATTTTTTCTTTTGTTTTTGGTTGTTTGGCTCTGGCTGTTTGTTCTGTGATCTTATAATGTATACATTAC